TATAACTCGAAAGAATGGTCAAAAACAACTTCAAAATACTTTTGAAGAACGTCATTGATAACTGTCATAACAAAACCAGTGAGGTGGTGATCAAAAAAGAAAAGAATTCCCAGAAATGAGGGAAGCTAAGTTGGCCATCTGTGTAGCGTCAAGGAATTCAAGCCGAACTGAAGCTGACCAATAGGATTAAACTTAACCAAATATAGGTATAACATGTACAGATTAGATAACACTTTAATACGAACTTTATAAACATTTAACCTATTTCAAGAGGTAGCTCAACAAATTATTTGGATTACTAGTTAACATCCCCAAGGTAAGAATAGATATAAAAAGTCGCCAATGCGATCGGAGACAACCCGAAGATGATTAGTAGACTTAGTATACCGTGGACATATTCTGTATTTAGCCCTAGACTTTGTTCCGATATGTTCGGCTAATTTCGATGAAAAATCTATAAAATAAAAAAAATGAATTTGAAATTTAATAAATATGCATCCATAACACATTAAAATATCATGCTGATATATGAATATGCTATACGTCCAATGACAATGAATTATCAAAACCGTCACAATTTTTAGTTTGAAATGATGATACATTAACTTTGAATGCTGAACGTTAAAGTTTATATTTTGGGTTCCTACTTATTGTTGTAGTGTTGTCCGTGCATTGATTTTTTACGAAGAATAAAGTTTTTATTGAAAGCCATTTCTGTATCACGTGAAACATCGAGTCGCTGGTTCGCCATCTTGGTTTTCTAATTGCCCATAAGTTTACAGGAAAAAATTAATAGGTGACTTATTAAATAGTCAACCTCAGACACCATCATCTATCCTAGACCACTTTCACAAGTGCCTACTATCGATTTTATATGAATGGCAATATTAAGAAAACATTCAGCACTGTCATATTGAAGAAATATCAAAAAAAAGTAATCGTGCAAAATTTTGAAGATATAGACTAAATACAAACAAAGTTATGGAGGGATTTACTGAGGCCTTGGTGGCCTCGTTTTGGTGTTTTTGTGCATCTTCCAACCCTTATAACTTCCAGAGGATTTAATATTTTTCTTTGAAACTTTCAGAGCTTCTCTTTAGCTTTGATATCTATGATCTGAGTGTTTTCTTTTGTCAACATTATGAAGAATTTAACAATAATATGCTAATTAGTGTCGACCATTGTGAAATTCGTGTATAACTTTAGTCTTCGGTTGCTGGTCACTGTTTGAGTAGTCAAGCTCCGATGCACATTTCACGTTTCACGAGCACCCAGGCTATCCTCACCGAATTGAACTTGTTGACCAGACAATGGCTGGCTTTGTCAAGGTC